CCAACAGCCAGATATTCGTGCGAAGGTTATCGTGTATTAATATATAACCATTAAACAATACATTAAAAAACAAACGTTTCAGCCTGTCATCAGGCCTTTATCAATGTTATTACAAAATTCAAAAAATTTTTTATTTTATTAAATTAAATTTTATTGATTTTAACAAAAGTTGAATTTTAATGCGTATTGTAAATATTCTATATTATGAATTCTTTAACACAATTGCAATAACATTATATTTTTATATGTATTTACAGTACGTCTTAAATTAAATTCTTGTATTATTGTTAAAGCTATTAATATAAATCGCTTTTATACAAGATTTATATATTTATTTATAAAGGCAATGATTCACTGTTTCTCGCGATCACTTTGCATGTTTGCGGGCAAATGGAACTCCTAAGAATCGAATTTAGTGATTTTGCTACGGAAAAAGGAAATGTCAATCAAGATTTTATGAAATTGGTAACAAGACACAGTTATTTATTGAATCTTGCAAGATTACTGGCCGATGCAGTTCATTTCATTCTATTAGTGCAATTATTCATCAGCTCTGTTCTTATTTGTATAATGGGTAAATATCTTCTGAATGTAACACTTGCCACTAATATAAATAACATTATTCGCACCAAGCATTGTAGGTCAGTCACTTCGCGAAAAAAACGTCGAATAAAATTTTTACTTAACAATAACAGTTTTTTCTATAATTTAATAAAAAAATATAAATATGTATATATAATATCATCATTATCATCATATATTATTCTAATAAAAAATGGATAGGTGTTATCCTATAAAATAGGATAATGCTTTATATAGAAAGTAATATTATAAAATTAACAATTTTTATATTCCGCAAATAGTTGTAATATTTTTTTCAGGTTTTCAATTAATTGTGGCATTGAAAGTAGGTGACGCATTAATGATAGCTAAAACTGCAATGGCATTACTTACTTTTTCATTAGAGATGTTTGCTTATTCTTTTGTGGGCAATTATTTGAAGAATCAGATGGAGGAAAGTTGCGCACTCAATCTTCTTCTGCAATTGGCATTGCATGTCGGTGAAATTGATGAAGAACATTTTGTTCGTCATTGCACAATCGCAGCAACCCATTCAGTTGACAGCTGGTAAATTCCTCGTCGTTAACTTGCAAACTTACATGTCAATATTGAAAACTTCCTTTTCATACTTGTCTGTGTTACGTGTGACGCTGGATACGTAAGATAAAGGTAATTATGATAAAGAAAGGTGAATATACATATATTAAACAATATTGCAACATTATGTACAATTGTATAATGCTGTCATTAAAAAAATGTGTCTGAAATAAAAAATATCTTTTTTCACAATATCAATAAAAAAATTGTGTGTTATTAATTGTGTGAAATAATGATATTAATACAGTTTTAATAAGATGTACCACGAGATATATGTACGTGAGATATTGTTGAAATAAACTTTGTACACTGTTTTATAATTAAATAAAACTATATAGTTACAGACAATTAAACAAAATTAATTATAAGTATATTTAATGTAAAAACATACTGCGTTATAGAAAAATAACAAAATATTCTGTTACAATTTTATTCATAAATTAATATAAAAATAACACAAAAAACTGACAAAAAGTAACGACATACTATAACAGAATTTTAATAAAATTTTAATTATAATCAACATAGATATATTCACATATTATCACTAAAAAAATTCCTTTTCGCGCAGCATATAAAAAGTGTAAAAAAAAATTAATAATTACCTATGTTGTATCACGGAAACTGATGGAATAAAGTTAAACTGCAGATCGCATATATTTTCAATAAAAAAAAGTAGTTCTAGTGCAAAAAATATTCTGCAGCATCATATTATCAACTAAAGTAACGGTAGACAATGCATTGCAATAAGATAAAACTTCTATTTTCCCCATTCAATTTTTGCTCGTCTCTCTTTCAATAAAAAAAAAAATGTTTCTATCAATTTTTCAAATAACCGCACTTTGGAAGATGACATAGCATGTAGTCAATAAATGTGCCACTTTAATAAGATATGAACGTCAAAGTGGACATATTAGCGATGATCGACTTCGTATTACAAACAAAAACCGCCATTTGTGAATTCCGTACATCTCTACTTGACTATAACAATGTCATGGAATGACGATGTGTCGTACGCTATGACTCCTTGTAAACTCTTTACTTTACCTATAGGTGGTTGGCCCTTGCAAGAATACAATACATTTGCTTTAGCCCGTTATATCATATCCTGCTGCGGTATGGTACGTTTCCAATTTTTATCTTATATACCGCATAAAAGTTTTTGTGCTGCCTGTATTTCCGAGATATCAGGTATAGTCAAATTGAACGACTAATGTGGCATAAATTCCACAAAATTTAAAAAAAAAGAAAAAAAGTGTAATTTGTAATAAACAGTCTATTTTTTTTATTTTTGCAGAGTGTGGAGCTGATTTTGTCGTACTTAAACCTCCACTACAATTGCAACGATACATACGAAAATCTTGACTCTCTTATGCTTTTCGTTTGTGCCATTCTTGGTTTAACAAAACTATCGATGTACCGCATTTACGCTGACAATTTAACTCGTAATTATTCTTCTGCCATCAGTGATTATCTTGCGATTGACACCGAAGAAAAACGCATAATCATGCGACGACATGCTTTCATGGGAAGAATTATATTCTGCTGTGTCGTAATATTTGGTTGCATCGGTTCACTTGCTTTAGTGGTGGCACCTATTGTGACAAATTATCAGGATGTCCAAATCAATATATCTATCAATGATTACACTCCAGGATATCCCATTCCCGCAACATGCACATTAGGGAATTTTCATTTCTCGACGAGTTTGTACTTGATGATTTTTATAGTGCAGTGTATTGCAATAGCGGCCACTTCCTCTGCCAATCTCGGTAATAAGATTGAAATAATATTATGATATAGACATGATTTGCATGCAACTATAAAGTATTAATTTATATTAAATGCTTTGTTTTTTTATTTTTTAATAACAAATGTATATATTATTAATATTCTTATTTTTAGTTTTACAATTTTGTCCAATTTTAGCTGTTTTTATACGTTAGTTACATACAAACTTAGCTCTTGTATGTAAGAAAATAAAATAACTTTTATTCAAAATTATTTTTATTAATTTGAAGTTTTTAATAAAACTTTCTATATATTATTTACATTATAGATTTTAATAAAACTTTATTTTTAATGCAAATAGTAAACACTCTATATAAATTTTGTAACTGCGCTAATGTTATTTTGTATCATTTAGAGAATACAATCTCTTATTTTTTTTATTATTAACATTGTTAACATAAATCAGTTTAATACGAGATTGGTATATTTTATTTATGAAGGCAATGACTCACTTTTTCTCGCGATCACTTTGCATGTTTGCGGGCAAATGGAACTCCTAAGAATTGAATTTAGTGATTTTGATATGGAAAGCAAAAATATCAATCAAGATTTTATGAAACTGACGAAGAGACATTGTTATCTATTAAATCATATAAAATTACTGACTGATGCAGTAAATCTTGTTCTACTAGCGCAGTTACTCATCAGTGGCTTTCTTATTTGTCTAATCGGTAAATATCTTCTGATCTAATGCTTCTTATTAATATTATCAATACTATATACGCAAAAATTATTATAAATTACTTACTTTGCGATAAAAAATGTAAAATGGAATTTTTATAAAATATTCACAAAATTTTCCATAATTTATATTTACTCAAAAAATAAACATATTGTACGTTATTATAGTAATATAAAAATATTAGTATAAATTTATAATGATTTATAGATACAATATTATTAGATTATTAGCAATATGATAATATGTATATTCTATGATAAGGTTGCAAAAATTGTTTTAGGTTTTCAATTGATTCTGGCGTTGAAAGGGGGTGACCTAGTAATGATAGCTAAAACTACAATGGCGTTAATGACTTTCCTGTTGCAATTATTTGCCTACTCTGTCGTGGGCCACTATTTGAAAAGTCAAACAGAGAACATGGCGCATTCTATTTACTGCTGTAATTGGCATTGCTTCTCATTGAAAATGATGAAGAACGTCTTGTTTATCATCACGCGGTCGCAACAATCCATTCCGTTCACAGCTGGCAAATTTATCATTGTTAACTTGGAGACTTATATGTCTATATTAAAAACTTCCTTTTCATACTTATCCGTTTTACGTGTAATGTTAGACACCTAGACTGAAACCAATTTTTGTAAGGAAAGTTCATTAGACATATGTAAACAGTAACACAGTATTGCAGTATGTGCAGAACCAAAAAATTATAATTACAATATAATATTATAATTATGTGTCTAGAATTTAAAAAATATTTATTATTATATTAATATTTTAATAAAATTCATAACGGAGCATAATTTAAAATTGTGAAT